GGCCATGGGACTTAAACCTGAGTGCAAAAATGGAGGCTCTAGACCCTTCCAGAGCTGAGATATTGAGATATTTATAATGGCATAAATGCTACGTGGTAAGCATAAATGCTACTCTGGAAGGGTCTAGAGCCTCCATTTTTGCACTCAGGTCTAAGTCCCATGGCCCTCTATCAGAATCAAGAGTTTCAAGAAGATCAGAGAAACTCAAAATTTCAACCCCAAAAAAACAAAAAAGACAGTGTTACCCCTGTCGTTTTTTTTTTTTTTTTTTTTTTTTTGTGCGAAAAAAAATAAGTTTCTCCAATCTTCTTGAAACTCTGGATTCTGATAGAGGGTCATGGGACTTAGACCTGAGTGCAAAAATGGAGACAAAGGTGCAACGGACGGACGGCCAGATTACGTTTTGGCAGGGGAAAAACTGATGAGCAAATGTAATGAAAATGTAACAGAAGGTGTAGAAATTTAGTGGATTAGAAAGTATAATAATTGCTGCAAAATGTAACAAAGTAAAAGTAAAAAGTATGCGCTATTGATTCTACTTAAGTAAAGTAAAGACACGTGAAAAATGTACTTAAGTAAAGTAACAAAGTATTTGTACTTCGTTACATTCCACCACTGTTTGAATATGATTATCATTATTATTTACATGACATTCATGAAGTCATACATTAAGTCAATTTGAAAACTACGTATCTCACTGTAGTATTTATTTGTACCGAGTTTAACTTGACATTTTGATTACGGTAATTAAAACGACATGTGTTTATCATTAAAGCCATAACGCAAAAAACAAAAAAAAAAAACACATCGTCCTAAAAAGATACATTTATGTAACATTTGCTTTTTTTATTTTAATATTATAGATTTTAATATAATATTATAGTGCCAACTAGCAGTCATTCAATGTTTGCTTTAACTTTCTCTCTCTCTAGGAAGATGATCTGCAGTTCCTCAGTCTCAAGGAAAGGGAGTGTTTTCTGTTCTTTGAGGAGACCATCGGCTCCCTGGACTCACGGTGGGGCGTCCGGCCTCACACACACAAACGGCACGACATCACAGCCCTGTAGATCATGACATCATTGACCTGGTCCACTTGGCCAATTATCGTGGAATCTAGTGTTAACGCGGAATTTCGTGGAATTTTACATATTTGGTTTGAAATTCAGTTTTTGTGCGAGAGTAAATGCAGACCAGGGGAAGCAAATCTGGACGACATAAACCCCCCCAACCCGTCATTTCAGCTCAAATGATGAAATTAAAACAATGAAAGCATGTCGAAGCGGCTCTCCACGGCTCTGCTTTAGTCGGCGGAGAGCCAGCCTGCGTTCACAAGCTTCTAACGCGAAGCATATGGTTTCGAGATCCCACTAACTTCTAAACACTTAGATTTGAATATTTGAAGATAATACCATACCAAATTTTGTCCTATTACCTGATGTTAGGGTTTCCCAAACCAGGGTTTGTGAAGGAATTTCAGGGAGTGTCTAAAATCTAAAACACTTAATAATGATGCAATGCTTTCTTTACTTGCATTATACGACATCAGAGAAAGATGAACATGCTAATGTTAAATTATTGACTTATGAGCTTCTTAAAATTTCAGGGCAACTTCAAGCAAATATATTACATCGAAAGAGGATTACTGAAAAAAAAGATTAATTATGTTCGTCAGGAGCTGTAATGTTGAGAAAATACCAGTTATTTCTGTAAATCAAACTCTGAGAATCAATTTTAAAAGTAGCTATAGTCTGATTGTTTTTTTAAAGCACAATTTATTAGGTAATTAAATTACATGTAATCAGTTACTACCCAGCACTGACTTCAACTAATCGTTCATATATATATATATTCACAAAAACAAACAGCATTACCTTGTTTGAAGATGTTCAGAAGGGTTAGGGATGTTCAACAGATTTATGTTTTAAGTCAACTAGCACTTGTTTAGACTGAGCTTGTTTTTTCTGCTTAGGAGTTTTGGTTAAAAACCAATCAGACCTGATATCTTTATCAAACACTAACTCAGGATTCACATTCATCTCAAGCTGCACATGCTGCTTTGGAAGCGCACGGCCTGGTTTCAGCCATCTTTACTTCATGGTCACATGGTTCCAGAACATTGAGCCATTCACCTGAGTCCTAATTGTCATGTGATTAATCACTCCATATTTGAACTCCTAAAACACTGTTAAGATTCCTCCATAAAGATAAACATATGAAGAGAACAGCCAGAGCTGTTGGCTCAGTGGTAGCGGTACCGGTTCCGAAGCGAGTGGTTAAGGGTTCTATTCCAACTTCTTGTTGCGTTTAGACTCCGCTTCGGAAGATAAACGTACGAAGAGTTTACGTACCACTGAGCCTCTGAAGACGGCACGGTTCTGACGGTTGAAAGTCAGCGTGCCGAGTTGGTTTCAGAAGCGTGCCGTCTTCAAAAAAAAAAAAAAAAAAAAAAAAAAAAAACACTTAAACACTGTTAAAATTCCTCCATAAAGATAAACGTACGAAGAGAAGTGTTAGAACTGTCTCGTCTTCAGTGGTGCAGTGGTATAGCGGTACCGGCTCTGAAGCGAGAGGTTGCCGGTTCTATTCCAGCTTCTTGTTGCGTTTAGGCTCCGTTTCGAAAGATAAACGTAAGAAGAGAAGTGTCAGAACCGTGTCATCTTCAGTGGCGCAGTGGTAGCGGAACCGGCTCTGAAGCGAGAGGTTGCCGGTTCTATTCCAACTTCTTGTTGCGTTTAGACTCCGTTTCGAAAGATAAACGTACGAAGAGAAGTGTCAGAACCGTGTCATCTTCAGTGGCGCAGTGGTAGCGGAACCGGCTTTGAAGCGAGAGGTTGCTGGTTCTATTCCAGCTTCTTGTTGCGTTTGTGCGTTTAGACTCCATTTCGAAAGATAAACGTACGAAGAGAAGTGTTAGAAGTGTGCAGGCTCTGGTGGCGTAGTGGATGAGGCCTCGTTTCGCCTTCCAAAGGTTAATGGTTCAATCCCGGGTCAGGACCAGCAACCAGAGGGAGCCAAGAGGAATCAACCGGTCCCGACGAGTCTGCACACCCAAAAGACCAAACCAAAGGGGGGGGTAGTGTGTGTGTGTCCCCCCCCCGAGGTTTCGGAACCCCCGTCGCTGCGGTTATACTGCTTAAACATTAATTTTCGCGACGTTTAATAATATAATAAGATAATAATAAAATTGGATAATTACTTGGATATTACTTAATTACTTAATTGGATACTTACTTAATTGGATACTTACCTAATTACTTAATTGGATACTTACCTAATTACTTAATTGGATACTTTAAACACTTGGACAATTACTTGGATACTTATAATTACTTGGATACTTTAAACACTTGGACAATTACTTGGATACTTACTTGGATACTTATAATTACTTGGATACTTTAAACACTTGGATGCTTACTTGGATACTTGGATACTTTAAACACTTGGATGCTTACTTGGATACTTGGATACTTTAAACACTTGGATAATTACTTGGATACTTACTCTTAAGCTCTATAAAAATAGATGTCGGTGAGTCTTAAGCTCTATAAAAATAGATGTCAGTTCAGTCTTGAGTCTTAAGCTCTATAAAAATAGATGTCGGTGAGTCTTAAGCTCTATAAAAATAGATGATGTTGAGTCTTAAGCTCTATAAAAATAGATGTCAGTTCAGTCTTGAGTCTTAAGCTCTATAAAAATAGATGATGTTGAGTCTTAAGCTCTATAAAATAGATGTCGGTAAGTCTTAAGCTCTATAAAAATAGATGTCGGTGAGTCTTAAGCTCTATAAAAATAGATGTTGGTTGAGTCTTGAGTCTTAAGCTCTATAATAATAGATGATGGTGAGTCTTAAGCTCTATAAAAATAGATGTTGGTTGAGTCTTGAGTCTTAAGCTCTATAATAATAGATGACGGTTGAGTCTTAAGCTCTATAAAAATAGATGACGGTTGAGTCTTGAGTCTTAAGCTCTATAATAATAGATGACGGTTGAGTCTTAAGCTCTATAATAATAGATGACAGTTGAGTCTTGAGTCTTAAGCTCTATAATAATAGATGACAGTTGAGTCTTGAGTCTTAAGCTGTATGTGCTTGACGTGTCGAAGCATCAGTTCTAAGCTCTACCAATAAGAGAAGCATCAGTCCTCTCTTCTCAAAAAAAAACCCCTAAAAAAAACCCTCAAAAAAAAAACATATTCAGCAACTTGACTATTAAAACACATTCTACACTAAGAGAAGCTTCTCTTCTAAAAAAACCCTAAAAAAAACAAACTCAAAAAAAGGCAAAAAAAAAATTAAAAAAACCCTAAAAAACAAAACAAAAAAAAACAAACAAAAAAAACATATTCAGCAATTTGACTATTAAAACACATTCTACACTAAGAGAAGCTTCTCTTCTAAAAAAAAAAAAAAACACCTAAAAAAACAAACTAAAAAAAGACAAAAAAATAAATAAATAAATAAAACCTAAAAAAAACCCTCAAAAAAAAAAAACTCAAAAAAAAACCCTACAAATAAAAAAACCTTCAAACACCACATTCAGTTATTAGACCATTGAAACACATTTTACACAAACAGAAGCTTCTGTTCTCAAAAAACCCCTCAAAAAAACCTTTAAAGGAAAAATCTAAAAAAAAAAAAAACATATTCAGTTATTAGACCATTAAAACACACTCTACATTAAGAGAAGCATCAGTCTTCTTCTCAGCTTTTTTGAGAACTTTCTCTTCTCAGCTTTTTTGAGCAACTTCTCTTCTCAGGTTTTTATGAGCAACTTCTCTTCTCAATAAAAAATCTAAAAAAAAACCTAAAGAAAAAACCCTTTATATGAAAAAACCTCAAACACCACATTCAGTAACTAGACCATTAAAACACACAAAAAAAGACCATTACACACAAAAAAAGACACTAGACTTTAAACACTACTTTATTATTTTCCTGTTTTTTTTTTTTTTTACTTTATTTTCACAAATATATAATTTATCCATCATCAATATACCAGATTCAGATCAGCCTTAAGATTAACAGTGTTTAGGGAGAACGCAGCCCATCCATTCTTGTTTGTGGATGATTCGAAAGCAGTTTGTTGGGCCACTTGCTCCCCTCCAAGAGATATACAGCTTTGTCGAGTCACGTAGATCTGTTAGGAATGATCAAGGTTAGGAAAGGGAACCAATTTGAAGGCTTCTTCAATAAGGGATGACATTTTGCTTACCTTTCCATTAAGCATCGAACCAAGAGGTCCACAAATGTGACTTTGCCAACTACACACATAATGGACACCGTTGCAGATTGACACATTACATCTGCGAGAGAAAATCCAAACAGTAGAGAACATCAACTTTGTGGCTTAAAGTGAATGTCTTCTAAAGATCATAAAGAGTATATGGTTTAGATCAGCCAATAGCTCACCTGTTCTCTCCTCAGTGTCATTCACAAGAAATGTGTCTCGCATTTGCTCTTCAACGTTGGGGTTGAAAAACACTGACGCATCAACAGTAAGAGAGGCACAGCCCGTGGCATTCATCTGGTAGGAGAACGAAGATAGACAATTAAAAAACAGAAATAAACATTTAAAAGCAGTCATTGAAGTTGAAATGTGTTCATCTTAAAAAAACCTGCTTTTCATTTATGGTCAGAAAACTCAAAATGGTGAAACATCTGGTCTTACCATTTGATCAAAAGGCACAAAGTTCGGTTTCATGAGGACAACTCTGAAATGAACTGCAAAGACACAAACTCACATACATTGGATAATGCATTTGAAAATTATGCTTCAACCAAGATCATTCACAGCTCACCCGTTTGTCCTGGATTGGAAATAGGTAACGTCTGAACATGATTTAGCTCTTCAGTCGTTCTGAAGACTGAAGCTTCTGCACCGAATCTCCATCTACCCAAAAAGCCTGTAGAGAACTTCATTTAACATACAATAAACCAAGACAAAAAGAGCCACACACGTCTAATGACTATGACCGACCTGGAAACAAAAGCAGCGGTGAAAGTGGAGTCGTCTTGTTTTCAGACACAAAGACACCAACTGCAGGAGCAGAAAGTGAACAGATCCAAAACTAGGCTTTTTAAAGAGCCCAGCCAGCTGCAGCCACTGACGAGTAGGAGGAGCTCCAAGATCCAATCAGCCGTTGAACCACCAATCAGCTGCTGGAATGGTTTTAGAAGCCATCTTACCCATAGATATCTATATAAAGGCTAGATATGTCGTCCACGCTGCTGGCCAATGGAGGTCTACGTCTGCACCTGGCGGCCATCTTGTCACAGGCAGCTCGCTCACTCGTAACATTGTGTTAATGGTGCATGTACTATTTAAATGACCATAACTTGCTCAATTTTCTACCGATTTTCAAACGGTTTGTTTTGTTATGAACGTCAGAGATGTAGTTCCAACTGACACTGCATACTTATGAATAAAAAGTGTATAAATTCCATTCCAAATAAATTATGAAACGTTATTTCTGAATGTTCCCTGAACAGTGTCCAGTTGTTTAAAACGTTTAATAGAATTTAAAATTATCACTTTACAAACTTTATTGGAACATGTTACATTTTAAACAAGTTTTACCGAACAGACTCTTAACAAACCCTCTGTTTATGTTTCTGGAAAAACGTTTGTTCATAACTTTGAGAGAACCTTGCCAGAACGTCCTGTTGCCATGTTTATTTGTTTGCATCACTATCTTGTATAAGTAAATATTTTTAGATTCTATAATTATCTAGCATTCATAACACTATTAAAGCTGTGTGGTGTTATTAAGTGCTGTTTTTTTAAGAGCTTTTTTTTTATTGTAAATTACAAAAATTAGTCAGATACTTTCAACACCAAACAGAAATAAAAAGGTTAACAAATTTCTCATATCATAAAATATAAGCATCAAAAATAAAACAACAAATATATAGACATATACACACACACAAACATATCCATACATATGCATTACAATTATTCCATTGAAGTAAAATAAATGAATAAATAAATAAATAAAAATACAATAAAAATAGCTAGCCACAGAATACATAAATAGTAAATTCCTCTTACACAAAATCATATCTAACCCTTACTATGAGTAATAATAACAGTCATACTATTATTAGGACTGTCCATTCTCTTAAAAAGGTAATTATGTCCTGACGTGACCAGCACTTATGTCTCAATCGCAGAACACGTCAGCGCTCAGATGATTCTGCTGCAGTCTGCTGAGTAACAGATATATGACCAGAGCCGATAGAGGACATATAGTCCAAGGACAGATGAGGAAGGGCCTGTTGAAATTGATTCAGAGCTGGAATGTCAGCATTTGTCTCGGCGAGTCTGTCCTGCTCAATCATTTCTGTGAAAACAACCTTCAGAAGCTATATATGTATTTGATCTCGCAGACCCAAGAGCAACGGCCATTAGAAACTGTAATCTGACGCTCTTGGTCTGCGAATGGTGGAAGGTCAGAATTGAAAGCTAAGGGAGTTTATGCTACTGAACTCATAATTCAGATGCAGTCAAACTCACAAAGGCTTTAAAGCAATAGTTAACTGAGAAAATGACAGTTCTTTTATGTTGTACTCACTCTCATGTCATTTTAAACCTGCACTTCTGTTCAACTCCTAGAATGGTGGACGTTTCTTTTTTTTTTTTTTTTTTTCATACAATGAAAGCAAACCGGGAAAGATGTTGACGAGTTTAAAAAATGTCAGGAAAATGTATTTTAAATGCATGATTGTGTTTATGGGGTGCAATATAACATGTATTTGTGGTTTTTCGTTTTAACCCCTTAACTGTCACCGTCCCGGTACCGGGACGCCTAACTTTACTTCACTATATATCTATTAAATTCTAATCTAATTATGACAAATTATATATTGTTGGAAAGGTCTAAGACTTCTAAATAGATATTCTACCCCTGTTTTGTGTTAAAAATTATATAGGAAGAGTAATTGATGAATTTATGACAAGAGTACACCTCAAAAAATCTGCATCATAACAGGAGTTTTGGCCTTTGTCACAAAAAGTTGATGAACCCACTTTTAATAATTGAAACTTCAGTTTTTATGCTAAAAGTTCATAATAAACATATAATCTAGTATTTTTCAATAAAAAATAAAAAATCATAGTACAATATTATCCTCTAAAAATGATAATATTTATATTTATTATCCTCTAAAATATAATATAATTTTTTTATCGCTTTTTTATTATATCACATATTTTAGTAGTTATCATAAATTAGGTATCATTTGAAAGCTTATAAACTCAGAATTCATTGTGTGAAAACTGTTTTATAATTGAAAGTTGCGTTACCATAGAAACGGTACTTATTTTATCAGGCTCCTCCCCTTTTGGGCATCATTATATTTCATAATTTATGATCAAAACCTTTTCTAATCTTGACAAAACTGATATTGTCTCAATGTTCCAAATTTTGTGACAGAATTGATATTTGGACAGAAATGTATTAATTTGTTAAGGCAGAATGTATACAACTAAATTAAATGGAATTCAATGGCACCCGGTGGCTATTTTTGGTACTACGCCTAAACAAAATCTCATGGGAACTTCAATTTTTGTGATATCAACTTCAAATTTGAAACATAACTTGATAAGATGTATGGCTTCGATTTTATAGAAATTTTAGTGTAAAAAATATTTTATAAAATATATATATTTTATATAAAATAAAAAATATATAGTACAGTATATTTAATTTACTGTAAATTTAAACTTCCATAACTTTTTCATACTTTCATTTTTTGAAGTGTTTCTGCTGAGTGTTTTCTTTAAAACAAGACCAAACTTGGGTATATATTCCAAAGCATTCTTAAATTACAACCATTTAAGTTTGAATAGTGCATTTTAACCCCCATTCTCAAAAAGGGGGGTGACAGTTAAGGGGTTAAAAAAAAGTCTTATTTTTTATAAATTTCACCTTTATTGTAAGCCGCTTTCCCCTCTGTCATTTGAACGACTGGTTGACTTCCTGAATCTATGAAACTACTCCCTCAGAAACAGGCAGTGGCTCAGATTGGTTAGTTTGCTAGTGTGTTGTGATTGGCTAAACTGTGTACCTTTGTGATTACCTTTACGGGCGAAGTACATAATGGTGTCGATACTGCAGTATCAGTATGAGCCAGAATCAGACCCAGAAAGCGGCGATGAAGAGAGGAAGTGCTAACCGACAAACTAAAAGTGTTATGCAGATTCATCAGAACTGAATTAGATGTGGAATCAAAGCATAAGGGTAATTTGTTATCATCCTTTTCACTTCTAGAGCTGTAATATGTGCAGTATTGTAGATGGCTTTTACATGGTTGTCACTGGGTGGTAAGACATCATCAGTAATCACATTAGCTGCTGGTGTATTTTGTGTTTTAGCCTGGGCATTCTTGCTCAATGGCTTTTTGAAACCAGCTAGTATAAAAGAAAAATGTTGAACAGCATAATGACCTTAACTATATGAGTACTTGAAGGGAACAGAAGCTACACAGTGTTGAAATCATAGTGAATTATGTCTCTGCACTTATTGAATAAGTAAAACCCTGAAACAGTAAAACTATTACTGAGTAAAATTGAGTTTTAGCTAAAAAAAAAGTAGGAATTTAATCCTGACATGAATACTTTTTGAATTTACATTTTAAATGTGTATCGCTGCTGTTCTTTGAGCTCAGATGGAAATCAGATATTGAAATAAATATATAAGTAAATAATTGCGGGGAAAAAAAAGGTGTATTAAAACATTGACATTTTGATATTTGTTGTAATTTCAAATATTTAGTCACTTGAATATAAATACATAATATAATAAATAAATATATAATTCTTTAACATTGTCCAAAACATACATACTGTTATTTACATAAATTATATATTTAAGCCTTTACTTTTGTAGTATTGCATTGTTACAGTAATTTTGTGTTCATTGCAGACAAATGATTAATTACTAAATATTTTTTGCAGTGTTTGTCTAGACAGCAGCAATTTTCCACTAATCTACTAATCAGTATTTTTCATGTTATCACCATACTGTAATAAAAATATTGTTGGTTTGTAACCTGGTCGCCTTAAAAAATTGAGTTGATACAACGAGGGAGATTGATTTAATCATCAGAGACTCAAAATATTATGTTATCTGAACTGCATTAATTATTTAAGTTGATTTGACAAAAGAAAAAAATGTTGTGATTACAAATCATGAACATATATTTTTTTTTTACAGTGGAAACAAAGAAATGTAGATCGTCTTTAAAGCGAATTGTCCATAAAATGTTGCCATTTTAAATAAACTACTACATTAGTAATTTAGTCAAATTAATTTTAATATTAGTCCAACCATATCAGCCCTATTCCCCCAAATAATTTTATTATTATATTTATTTTTTATTCATGTTTTTAATCTGCATAACTGTAGGGTAAATGCATTAATAATAAAAAGAAACAGCGCATTAATTTTAAAGTAAAAATAACGTGCGTTAAAAATAGCTAGCTATTTCAAATGACCGAAAGTTACTAGTATCGTCGAACTACAATTACATTAAACAAACTGTTCATTCATTGCATCACTTCTCCTCTTTTCTTTGGTTAGCAGGAAGCTTTAGTCGTTTTCACATTGTATGCTATAATGCTAATTTAAAGTGCTAAATGCTAAAGTCTGTGAGTGGGGAAAGATTGATGCGTCAGACCGAGGTAATTCAGGTGACAAAGCATTGTAGTTGTGCTTTTTTTGGTAATATCTTGAATTAATATTATCCGATAGCACACGTACATCACAGAGACATCTACTGGATGTGTTTGTTTATATCTGGAAGATGTTTTTTTTCTTCAATTTTGCTCATCAGTAGTACGTATAGAACGTTTCCTGTCAGATGTCAAATATACATTTAGAAAATGTCTTTAAGATGTTTATGATTTAGAATGTAAAACTTACATCTTAAAGACGTCTATCAGATGTTAGCAAAGAGCAGATGCTTTCGATCTTTAGCAGACATCTTATAATACGTAGTATAATAGTATAAGTATATATATATATATATATATATATATATATATATATTTCAGCTCGGCATTCATTCTGTGTTGATAAACTCCATATCCCATCACTTTTCCAGGTTCTCATTTTATGGCACATCACAGATGCAGGCGCCATGGTGATTTGAATGTGTTTTTAATTCATGTGAATGGCCTGGCAGAGCTGCTGCGGGCCGTTAATTACCTGCCACTGTGAACATCAGTCAGTCTAATGAGAGGAACTCCCGCCCTGCATGCAGAACGCATATTAAGACTCTAATCAGCAAACCTGCAGCACGCGACCACAGGGACCTGACTGCTTCCTACCCCATATAAAAACAGTCAAAATGATGGTGGTTTTGAAAACACAGGCTTGAAATGGCTTTAATGAGGGTACAGCATGGATCTGAGATTTCTGAGGGTGATAGAGGGCAAGACATGTCTGATCGAAGTCTCTGCTTAAAGTTAATTTTGAGAAATTGGCTTTTTCCATCTTTAATCTCTTCTCACAAACACACACACACACAAAAAGCATATATTGATAATACATGTGTTTGTTTTTCATTTTTTGATTCACTTCACATCAGGGTCCAGTTCACTCCATCTTTATTGTCCTTACAAAATGTAATTTTATTTAATTTGTCCTTACATTGAATTTACCTTCAAGAAATATGTGTTCTTGTACTTGTGACGCATGATTCTTTTGCTATTGAAAAACCCCCCCAAAATGTCATCATTATTCCAGTTTACATTAGTCGCAATCACAGTGTAAATGATTTATGTTGTTTTCACTGTAATATTACTGTATTCGCAAGCGTTTCCTACTGTATAAGCTGTTTACAGAATGTTAATGTAGATTTTTTTTCTTAATTTTTACAGCATTATTACTGTATTCATAACAGTTTCCATCTGAATATAGCTGTTTACAGTATGTTACTGTAGATTTATTTTTCTTAATTTTTACAGCATTACTGTATTCATAAGTTTCCTACTGTATACATAGCTGTTTACAGTATGTTACTGTAGATTTATTTTTCTTACATTTTTACAGCATTATTACTGTATTCATAACAGTTTCCTTCCTCCTGTAGAAGTCAGAATACAGCTGTTTACAGTATGTTACTGTAGATTTATTTTTCTTATTTTTTACAGCATCATTACAGTATTCATAACAGTTTCCTACTGTATAATTCAAAATATAGCTGTTACTGTAGATCTATTTTTCTTAAATTTTTACAGCATTATTACTGTATTCATAACAGTTTCCTACTGTATAAGTCAGAATATAGCTGTTTAAAGTATGTTACTGTAGATTTTTTCTTAATTTTTACAGCATTATTACTGTATTCATAACATTATCCTACTGTATAAGTCTGAATAGAGCTGTTTACAGTATGTCACTGTAGTTTTTTTTTCTTAATTTTTAGAGCATTATTACTGTATTCATAACAGTTTCCTACTGTATAAGTCTGAATGCAGCTGTTTACAGTATGTTACTGTAGTTTTTTTTCTTAATTTTTAAAGCATTATTACTGTGTTCATAACAGTTTCCTACTGTACAAGTCTGAATATAGCTGTTTACAGTATGTTACTGTAGATTTTTTTTCTTAATTTATTACAGTATTATTACTGTATTCATAACAGTTTCCTACTGTATAAGTCTGAATTTAGCTGTTTACAGTATATTACCGTATATTTATTTTTCTTAATTTTTACAGCATTATTCATAACAGTTTACTACTGTATAAGTCTGCATATAGCTATTTACAGTATGTTACTGTAGATTTTTACATCATTATTACTGTATTCATAACAGTTTCATACTGTATAAGTCTGAACATAGCTGTTTACAGTATGTTACTGTAGATTTTTTTCCTAATTTTTACAGCATTATTACTGTATTCACAACAGTTTCCTACTGTATAAGTTTGAATATAGCTGTTTACAGTATGTTACTGTAGATTTTTTTCCTAATTTTTACAGCATTATTACTGTATTCACAACAGTTTCCTACTGTATAAGTTTGAATATAGCTGTTTACAGTATGTTACTGTAGATTTTCGAAGCAATGCAATACAGTACTAAATGACTGACAAACCACACACAACGTTAAACAAACCAAAAATGTGAAAACTGATAATCATTTATATTTATATATATAGTTTTTATTTACACATTTTTCTATTTACATATCTTTGAAAAACATGATAATTCTGTACAAAGCTATTTAATTCAAGATCATTTCATTCAAACCTCTTTTAAAATCTATTCTGACATTTCTGTAGGTTGAAGTCAAGAAACTAAGACAAGAAGCTTGGTATCCAGAAAATCTCCCAGCAACCCCTCGTAGCTTGAACTCCATTTTGTCCAGGCACTGAATGTCAGTTACAGTAAACTCTTTCAATTCTATGGCCCATCAAACAGCCTAAAGATACCAAGTATAGCTGCTGAATTCACCGTTTATGCAGAAGTGAATGTTGTAAAGGCAAACATTCCGCTTTGCCACATCCTAAGTGATCATGAATGTAAAATAAATATCTGTGATGTCGTCAATATCTATAGTTAGGCACAACTTAACAGGCTCATGTAAACGGTATATATAAAAAGAAGAAATAATTAAAAAAAGCTGATTTATAGAATATATCTTGTACAAAAAGAATGAAAATATACTTATCAAGTGCAGTTTCACTTCTATTTAGTTGTAAGAACTGGCACACAAATTTAAAAGCCTGATGACATGATTGAAGCAGTGCACTGTTCAAATACTGACAAAATGTCAAGAGTCGGAAGCTGATGTCCCCAAACACATCTATTAATGACAGCCTTGTACAGTCAGTACAGATTATTATATCTATATCGAAATGGGACGTGAAAAACGACAGTGCCATGAGCAACAGAAATTGAATCAGTTCTTCAGTTTTCGTCCCCAGCTGCCCTTGTTGACTGAACCTGTGCCTCGCAAAACTCAATCAGCCAAAATAAGGCAAATTTCATTGACTCCATTCCGATGACTCATGGGCACTGTTCTAACATACAAACAAAATGATCACCCAACACTTCCTGAGGTAGACCATGGTTAAAATAAGAGTTTGTAGGCGCCGTTTAAACCAAACGATCTCACTGCAAATGTTTATAAACCATGTTTTCTCAGTAATGTCTGATTATTGCCATGAATCATTTGGGCCAGCATCCATCCTACCGTCCCATTCTAGTATTGCGGAATCCTGCCGTCTAAATGAACTTTTCTGCAGATTCAGTGCGTGAAAAAGCTAAATCTTGGAATTGGTTGTGATTAAATTTAAGAAGAAAAAAAAAAAAAAAGAAACAAAGATTAAATTAGTGTATTTGAAGAGCGCATGATTTTGACATCCAGTTGACTCATGGCGTTCGGAGTGCTTATATTAGTAGAAGTGTGGAAAAATTCCAGGAACAGTTGAAGTCCACTGTACACATTCCCACCCCCATAAAAAATGTCACTGTTTCACTTCAGTATCATCAAACGGACAGTGGCGCCTCCGAGGTCAGTAGGGGTTGTCATATTCAGTGACTGTGCTGGGCGAAGCCTCATCTTTTATAATGGTTAGGGGCGTCGGCAAAGGCAAACTTCAGCCGGTAAGCTTCAGCTAAGAGAACGCTAACTTCCTCATTTCCCCAGTGCATTGTAGGTAGATTCTGGAGCAGAATCATCAGACCCTGTGAAGGATAAAGAGATTTTATTTAAGATGATTGCATGAACATATACAGCAGCAATATACATTTTTGAATCAACCAGGGGGTGGGTAGTCTGAAACAAAAACTCCACCGCAAAATGAATCTTTGGTCTAATTACACATTGGTACATAGTCAACCGTTCTCTGAGATTTGTTTTCATGATTATCGAATGTGAAGAGTTTTATCTCTAAAAACTGTTTAGCTTATAATGCTAATATATGGGGCATAGAGTAATGAAAATAAAAATCGCTAGTTATTACCACTAACAAGGCTCAAAATAGCCCAAAACTAACACGGTAGCATAATCAGTGTCCCTGCATGCAAACCGAAGCATTGAGAACGTTGTAAGTGTACAGACCTTGGCTCGGTGTTCGTGGTTCGACTGCTCGAGACTGTTTTCCAAAGATGGCTCCTGCTTGTTTTCGCGAAGTGGACCGTCTTTTAAAAAATATATTCTTTTTAAACGGCCTGTACACTTACAGCGTTCTCAATGCTTCGTTTTGCATGTAGGGACCCTGATTAGGCTACAGTGTTAGTGTTGGGCTATTTTGAGCCTTGTTAGTGGTATTAACTAACGATTTTTATTTTCATTACTCAATGCCCCATATACTAGCGTTATAAGCTAAACAGTTTTTAGAGATAAAACTCTTCACATTCGATAATCATGAAAACAAATCTCAGAGAACGGTTGACTATGTACCAATGTGTAATTAGACCAAAGGTTCACTTTGTCCAATCATGCCCAACCTTCAGACATGTTTCTTGGTAATACAAGTATGCTTTAAAACATGTGTGGGACACACTAGCCTAGCCTTTGAGGTCTACTGTCCTGCAAAATTTTGCTCCAACCCTGATTAAATTCAGCACAATCAGCTAACCAAGGTCTTGAGGATTGCTAGAAAATTACACTACAGGTGTGATTGATTAGGGCTGGAGCTAAACTCTGCAGGACAGTGGACCTTCAGGGCCAGAGTTGCCCAACCCTGCTTTAGAATCCTTTCTATCAGCATTTCTCAGTAATATTTGCGCGTTTAAGGTCACACAAAACATTTAAATACATTTCTTAAAGGGATACTCCACTTTTTCTTGGAAATAGGCTCATTTTACCACTCCCCCAGAGTTAAACAGTTGAGTTTTACCGTTTTTGAATCCATTCAGCCGATTTTCTGATATTTAGAAGACTATCAGTTACTAGACAGTTTTTGGTCTCATTGACTTCCATAGTAGGAAAAAAATATACTATGGAAGTCAATGAGACCAGAAACTGTCTGTTTACTGATATTCTTCTAAATATCAAAAAATCGACTGAATATGTTCGAAAACGGTAAAACTCAACGGTTTAACTCTGGGGGAGTGGTTAAATGAGCCTATTTCCAAAAAAGGACTTGTGTCAAACAAGTTGCAAAATATTTATCTATGCAAATTAGCAGCTATGCGATGTGGTGACGAAGAACCAGTACAGCAACTGATAAATTTGCTTACAACAATCGGCTAGTGTGCTGCTGGAGGATATTTGAGCATCCTAATACACATACATCCCGTGAAGAAGCGTCTTAAATTTGCTGGAAGGAGTTTTCCTTGGTGTTTAGCAGACAAGGGAAGGCATTGCAGCACAGTCTAAAGTTGTTTATATCTTTTTCTTTAGCGGGGTCAAGCCATGCTATCACAAAGCGCCACTGTACTTCTCTAAATTATTATAACTTTCAATCACAGATTCTTTGGCTGCTCTATCTTAAGTGTAGGGTGAAGAGAGCGAGCTGCCAGTCAATCTGTGTGTTTCTCTTCTCGCTCGGTGCGGTCAGGACCTTGCCAGTGGAAGCCCATTTCTCTTAGGTATAGAAGGCCAAGTCTAATTCACTCAAGACGGCGTCAGGCGGCTCCAGCAGGCCTCAGAGTCAATGACTGCATTACAGCGGCTTAGAGGCTCAATCTCCCAGCCTAATTCACCTATCCTGCTGGCCCTGATGAAGGAGAATGAGAACGCTTAATACTCCATCACAGAGGGGTACAAGCGGGATGGATGGAGGTGAGAAGTAGAAGAGAAAGATACAGGGAAAAAAAGCAATAATGCATCTTGTAATAACTGGAATGTGCCTCAGACATTTGCCAGTTAATGCGCCAAATACTCATTTGATTATTCATTCAAGAACTAACGAGAATCCCAACTAAAAGTACTTAAATCTACCATCTTCTCTCCAAGTGTAAAAAAACAAAAACAAACAAGGATGAAATACCAATTGGACTTGTCTGATATGGAGCGTACACTGCATAAGAGCTTCAGACACATACATCTGTGTCAAGACGAATGCTTTCGGCTACACTAGCTTGATTTCCCAAGCCATTGCATACCGTAACATGACAGAACGCAAATGAGTGTTGCATTCTCAGTGTTGTCGCATGGGGCATTAGGTTAGAAATTAAACAGTCCTCTTTGGTTTTGTCTTCAGCATAGACAATTAGACTAAGATTAAAAAGGCAGAGTAATAACAACATTGTTTGTATTACAAAAGTGTTCATTAGGCTTCCATTTACCCCTTGTATGTGTAATTCAAAGACTATGCAAGTAAAGACTTATGTGTAATAGCCTTTGCAATTCCACAGCCACTTGATTGGGACATTTTATCAAATGTGAAGATGAGGGCAAAGGACAAAAGAGAAAATAATCATTTTTATGAAGTATAAAGTCGATGCTTGATTATTCAATATGAGTATTAAAACAGACGAGTACCAATACGTAATTTTTAGGTATTAGCCGATACCTGCATTTTTGGAAGACTAAGCTGTTCTATTTGTGCAATAACTGTTTTTAAGTACTTGAGCACAGTATCATAAAATACTGACACTGATATCAATAATTATACCTGTCAACTACTGTATATTTAAAATGAAATCATCCATGCAATAGTCAAATCAGGTTCTAATCAACACAGTCATCTCAGTCTGATATTGTTTTTTTCTCAACCAATAACTATATTAGGATACTAATTGCCTAGTAATGAGCCAAGTTACATAATTGGAAATAAATTAGTGATATTAATGGGATCCACATAGGCAACGACCATGATTGATTGGGCACTGCTCATTTTCACTGCATTTAGGGACGTAAACTAATTGCATACTATAAGAAGCATGGGATATTGTAAGTGCATTTCCAATCCCTTAAACTTTAATTAGCTAATTAATAGATTTTATGTAAAGATCAGAAGGAAGAACTACATAAATGATTACATTACTTTTCATAGATAATTGAATATTAAAGCTGCAGTACGTAGTTTTTCCTCAGTCGCCATCTCTGTTTGAAATCTGCAATTGGAGTCATTTGTGTAGTTATCAACTTTTCCACGGATTTCCCGCGGAAATCCACCAGTACCACTGGAATTAACATTATTAGAAGCTTACTGTTTTAGATAGTTTTGAACACTGGCTGGTTATGTACTTTCTCAAAAATCCAAATATTTTGGATAATTTTTAACCCAAGTTACGGACTGGAGCTTTAACATATTGAATTGACATTCTGAGGATTGTTATTTGGATGTGCCAAAAATGTGATTCCAGAAGTAATGCTACAGGGAATGACGCCCAAGTAATGTTCTTTAAGTTACACACCCACACACACACGAAAGGAATTAAATCAACTGAAAGAGATGGAGTTGAACATTTCCTTACACAAACCTCCACAATGCACTCCAACAGGTAACAGCAGATTAAATCTTTCGTTAAATGTCAACAGACCCTTCATAGGCTAGATTTTCTCTCCAATCATTTTTTTTGTGAAGTACCCATGTCCTCCTTGAATTCAAGAAGACCGTTTATTGAAGAAGAGCGAGAGTATGTAAAACTTTAAGGATGAATAATATCCCTGAAGATCACTATAAGATTGTGTAGGTGTCATTTCCAAGAGATTTTGAAGAGTAATCTACCCTTTCCACAACTGTTGAGTATCTGTAACACTTAAGCAAATGTATTTCTGGATTGACAAAAAAGTGCACTAAATCACTGATGTGTGTGCAAAACAGTTGTCAACCATACTGTGCGATAGCCAAATCTCCTAATCAACAGCCTAGTTTTCGACAAATAACGAGATTAGGACACTAATTACTTGTAATGAGCCAAGCCGAATAATTGGATATAAATGAAGTATCTAATGATCTACACATCCAGCTAACATAATTGATGCAAGATTGATAATTTTTGTTGCATTTAGAGACTTTTTCTCTGGAGCATGTAGAAAGATGGCAAACTATTAGTTATGGGACATAGTAACAACGTTGCCAATGGCCATTATTACATTCAATATGAAATGGCATTCATTTCTTTCCCCATGATGTAATACATTTTTACGGAGACCCTCTAGTCCCACTTTGGTAAAAAAAAAAATAATTATAACTATCTTGTGGCCTCAAGATAGTAACTCGTGGCCTCAAGATACTAACTCGTGGCCACAAGATAGTAACTCGTGGCCTCAAGATAGTAACTCGTGGCCTCAAGATAGTAACTCGTGGCCTCAAGATACTAACTCGTGGCCACAAGATAGTAACTTGTGGCCTCAAGATAGTAACTCGTGGCCACAAGATAGTAACTCGTGGCCTCAAGATAGTAACTCGTGGCCACAAGATAGTAACTCGTGGATAGGCCACGAGTTACTATCTTGAGGCCACTAAGTTACTATCTTGAGGCCACGAGTTACTATCTTGTGGCCACGAGTTACTATCTTGAGGCCACAAGTTACTATCTTGAGGCCACAAGTTACTATCTTGAGGCCACGAGTTACTATCTTGAGGCCACGAGTTACTATCTTGAGGCCACAAGATAGTTATAATACATTTTTTTTTACCAAAGTGGGACTAGAGGGGCTCCGTACATTTTTGAATGCAACACAGCATTCAAGCTAAAATGCTAAATGTAGGGATGCACAAAGAAACCCAAAAATAACAGTCGAAAATATATCCAAGTTATTGCTGAACCCAACATTATTTCTATTT